GCGGAGCGAAACAACTCTGCGCTTGCTTGGGAAGAGGGCGCGTGGTCAAGAAGAAGAATCGCGTGGCTTCAGCCTTGGCTTGCACGCCAGCTTCCCGCGGAAGGCTGCCCTTCGCAAACATGGGTGACATGCCCCCTCCACATTGCGCGTCGCATCCACCCGAGCCTTGCCAGGCTGGATGGTTCCGTTTTTCCTAGCCTAAGAACTACTGCTCGCAGAGCGGCGGAACCATGTCCTCTGGTTAGGCCCCCTATCAAAAGGCTCGAAGATCTGCCGAGCCTTAAGGGGCTAGCGTGTCGCGCTTGTCGGTGGAATGCCCTCTGTTTTCCCACACTGTTGCCCTCGCCGGGGACCAAGGTGCCTACACCGTACTGTACAGCACTGTACCAAGAGAGAATCAGAGATCCGCGTTGGCGTGTGTCACCGCACGCAACACAAACCTTCACAATTCGTTCTGCCTTATTACGTGGCCTTCTGGCTGACTGCCCTTGCCAGCTGTCCATCCAATCCAGTACCACAAGCCACTCCAAGTCAGCACGGTGGTGATAACTCATGATGGGAAGCATCATTCTCGCTATTAGCTGCTGTCTGTGCAGACTACACCTCAAAAAAACGATTTTGGATTAACCCCCCTTTATTGATGAAATTGTGACGAGCACTTGCAGGCACAGCAGAAACAATTGATGGACATTCCGAGGAATCTAGCGTGACAGTTTTACACAATTTTCTTAGCCCGATTGGCAGTGTCACGCTCCCTATCATCATTTAACCATTTGTTGACAAGTAGCGAGTCGATAAATATCTGCAATCGCAACAAAAGCACAAACTTTCTATGTTATACAACGCACCAAACCAGAGTGTCCGCCATGAACAGACAAGCCCAAAACAATAAGATACATCCGCACACACAATAGAAGCATAGCTTCACACAAAAAACCGAAAGGTAAAGCATTTAGCTGACCTGGAGAAAATGGGTGAGGATGCATGGCAGAAGGACCAATGCTGGCTCGCCCATAAGTGTTCCAATCTTCTCCACCACTGTTGCAGCCACTGGAAGGGTTTTCTGCCACAGGGTGACGAACATTACAAGGGTACGGGAGTTTGCAGAGTGTCACAAACAGAGCTACTTGAAAATATAATTTAAAAAATTGGATAGAATCCAGTCCGTGACACAGGACATCCATTAGAATAGGTGACACGAAGGTAGTACTCACCAGGATACGGGAATAGTTGATATGCTTATGTTATTAATGTAGTGTTACCTGACTGGAGAGGATAATGACGGCTCTATCGACAGCGTTGGCCTCTTGAAGGGGAAGGGGAGGGGTGATTCGCCTCAGAGCCGCCATCACTCCCATGTTTTAAAGCCAGGAAGGACAGATGGACGGCTCTGATTTGAATTCAGGGGAGGGATTGGGTGGAATTTAGAGGGATTGGGAAGGATGAGGAGGGATCGGTAGGAAAAAACGATCTCAGTTCACTCAGAGTAGTTGGTTGACACTTCCGTCCACAATAATGGACTCTTGAAGGGGAAGGGGAGGGGTGATTCGCCTCAGAGCCGCCATCACTCCCATGTTGAGCGCCAGGAAGGACAGATGGACGGCTCTGATTGAAAGTCAGAGTGGGATTGGTAGGGATTGGGAAGAATCGGAGGGATCGGGAGGGGTTGGTTAGGGTCGGGAGGGATTGAGAGGCGAGAGGAAGGAGTTATCTCAAACCTCACAGATTCGTCCACAATATTAGCCTCTTGAAATGGAAAAGGAGGGGTGATTCGTTCGAGGGACAATTAGAACAACCAAAGGCAAACGTTGTGGAGTGGACGTACATGCCAGTGCCAGCAACAGCAGCAGCAATGTGCAGCAGTTGCATGCATGTTGCATGGGTAACATGTGGGATGTGGGATGTGCCCAGACTGTTGATTGATACACACAGACCATGGCAAACTATGATGTGGCATGGACATACATGCCAGCGGCGGCAATGGGTAGCAGTTGTGTCATGTCGAGACGAAGAATCGCCGCCCGGGCGGAACTGACTTGCATCCAGGGTACCTGGAGAGGACCACGAGACACACACACACGCATGAGTTTAGTTTTAAGGCGCATCAAAACTCACCTCAATACACACATGAGTTTTGTGGTGCGTGTATGGTTCAGAAAAAAATCGGTGAGTTGGGAGGGTGAAAGCTGCAAGAACAAGAGATGTCTGACGGTTTAAGGGATGGAAAAAGAAAGAAGTTCAATCTAGGGGGCGGAAGCACGTATGGAAAAGGAAGTGGGGGGGCGGGGTAGAAACCCACATGAATGACGCAAATGAGGGGTAAGAGGAACGCACGAATGAGAGCATGGCGTTGTTGGCCATCGAGAGCTGCTGCTTGCGCTGATCAGCCCACGTGGCAACAGCTGATTGGATCATGAGGAGGAATGGGAGACAAGGGAGAAAGGAGAGTGAGTAAGAAGGATTTCATGCTTCCTCATGAAGGGACGGAGAATGATATCCAAACAAAGTGAAATGGCACCATCTTTCCACGGCTAATTCACTGAGGTTTCTCAATGCAGGCAGGCAGGCTAGCAGAGGCTGGGGATGCAGAACAGTTGAGTGGTTGTGGTAAGCACCTGGAATGCTTCGTCGCACTGCCTGAGTTACAAGCCCATTCGGATATGCGAGGGATTGACGATGGCCCCGTTGTGAGAGAATAACCACGTTGAAAAGGACAGGTGGAGGGGAATGCATTGAGGAAAGGAAGAAGTAGAAAGATGTTTTTTTGCTCTCTCTCTTTTCTTCTGAGATTCCACGAGCTGCCCATTTTTTCATTTTTGCAGCGACCGATGGCCTCAGAATTGTGGGATGATAAGCGAAGGGGATGAGATGTAGTGATCATACGAGTGGGAACAGAAAAGGCACCTAAACAGCGCCCAAAAGCAGGGCGTTTAATTTGACTATACAAATTCTACTAATGTGATGCCGCAAATCACACCGTACTATACCACACCACGCCACACCGCACCACACCCCACCACACCACACCACGTCATACCATGCCAATGAAGAGAGGAACGAGGAGAGTGGTAACCAGCCCGCGTAACAGTGGCCCTGCTGGTACTGACACGCCCCCACTTGCTGGAACGAGCCTTGATAGGAGTAGAGGCATCTGAGAAAGAGACCGGAGGGAGGGGAAAAGGGGGGGGAAGAGGGAGAGAAAGTGGAGAGAGAAGGGGAAGAGTGGGCTGGAGTGTCGTATGTAGGGCACGGCACATGTCCGAGTGACCACGGCCCTGCTGATACTGACACGCTCCCACTGGCTGGAACGAGCAGGACGGGAAAGCGCGGGGAAGGGGAAGGGGGAGGGAGCAGGAAGGGCGTTGGGGTGTTGCAGTTGGGGGCTTGAGGAAAAGGGGAGGGGAGGGAGAGGGGAGGGGATTGGGGTGTTGAAGATGGGGAGTTGAGGGGGAAGGGGATGGTGCATCGGCCATCCTGGCCCTGAGATGGTGCATCAGCCATGCTGGCCCTGAGATGGTGCATCGGCCATGCTGGCCCTGAGATGGTGCATCGGCCATGCTGGCCCTGAGATGGTGCATCGGCCATGTTGGCCCTGAGATGGTGCTGGTATTGAGTGGAAAGGGTTAGGAATAGGGTGTTGTAGCCAGGAAATGACATCTGTGGAAGGTTGGGGGAATCAGGTGAATTATATGGCTGGCTGCGAGTAACATGAAGGTGTCAAACGGTGGGGCTTATAGTGGGAGAGCTTACAGTGAGTATGCCAATAGTGTTGGTGACGACAGTTAGGCCGAGAGCCAATGCTGTGTTGGCATGTGCTGCCTGGTGGGAGTAAGGCCGGGCAAATAGGGGAAAATGGAGAGAAAAATAGCAGGGCGAGAGACAGGCAAGAGTGAGAGGGAAGGAAGTGGGTTTTCGTCCATCTAACCAGAGAGCTGATTCTTGGAAGGGAGGACGAGAGGGAGGGACGGACGGAGGGAGGGAGAGAGGGGGCGAGGGAGGGAGGGAGGGACGGATAAAGAGGGGGCCAGGGTGTTTCTGAGGATTCTCGAAAAACACCCGGAGGAGACAGACATTGGGAGAGGGGGGCTATGACTTTAACACGTGAAGGCCGAGCTGCCCTGCCTACCCGTGCAAGAGTGATTCCTGCGGTGATGACGGCAGGCAGGCATACAGCAGAAGAGACGACCCAGAGTCAAAACACTTAACGAGACGCCTATGTTAACGAGAAGTGTTTTGAGACGTCTCAAAACACTTGTTCATACACGAGGCATGCAGCATGCCAGTCAACTCAGAAGACGGCGCCTCTGCCAACGAGAAGGCCATTGTCCAGTCGATTCGACTGTAATCATGAATGAAACCATCATGAATGAAGCCATCATGAATGAAACCATCATGAATGAAACCATCATGAATGAAACCATCATGAATGAAACCATCATGAATGAAACCATCATGAATGAAACCATCCTGATTCTCATGCTGTGCCTACCCGTGCAAGAGAGATGCCTGCGGTGATGGTGGCAGGCATGCAGCAGAAGAGCGCGAGACCTGTGGGGATGAGGAGAGGAGTGACGGTAAAAAAGGGGAGAGCAAAGTAGGAGAGCGTAAGTTGGGGATGGGAAGGAAGGGATGCCTGCTGTGATGCTGGCCGGCATGCAGCAGAAGAGCGCGGGACCTGTGGTGTGAGGCGCGGAGGTGCAGAGGGATGTGGAGGGGTTGGGGAGTGAATTAGAGGCAAACAGGGAGATAGGGCAATGAGGGTGCATGCTGTGTGATGGTGGCAGGCATGCAGCAGAAGAGAGCGCGAGACCTGTGGTGATGTGGCGATGCGAGGTGATTGGGGAGCAACAAGCTAACAGGGAGAGCAATGGAACCCCACATTATACTGAGCTGACTTTTGAGTCGACTCAAAGTCAGCTCGGTGATTGGGGAGCAACAAGCTAACAGGGAGATCGCAAGGCAGGGAAGGGAGGAGGGGGCAAGGTTGGTTGGTTGCAGGCATGCAGCAGAAACAAGAAGCTGGATGGGGAGCGAAGAGCACAGAGGGAGAGCGTAAGGCGGGGGGCGGGGCGGGGGTGTGGATCTAGAAAAGGTGGGGGTGGGGGGGAGAGGGGGGGTGTCAGCGTAAGTTGGGGGCGTAAGGTGGGGGCGGGGGTCTCTATCCATGCAGAATGTTGGTGGCAGAAATGTTGGTGGCAGAAATGTTGGTGGCAGAAATGTTGGTGGCAGAAATGTTGGTGGCAGAAATGTTGGTGGCAGAAATGTTGGTGGCAGAAATGTTGGCAGAAATGTTGGTGGCAGAAATGTTGGTGGCAGAAATATTGGTGGCAGAAATGTTGGTGGCAGAAATGTTGGTGGCAGAAATGTTGGTGGCAGAAATGTTGGTGGCAGAAATGTTGGTGGCAGAAATGTTGGTGGCAGAAATGTTGGTGGCAGAAATGTTGGTGGCAGAAATGTTGGTGGCAGAAATGTTGGTGGCAGAAATGTTGGTGGCAGAAATGTTGGTGGCAGAAATGTTGGTGGCAGAAATGTTGGTGGCAGAAATGTTGGTGGCAGAAATGTTGGTGGCAGAAATGTTGGTGGCAGAAATGTTGGTGGCAGAAATGTTGGTGGCAGAAATGTTGGTGGCAGAAATGTTGGTGGCAGAAATGTTGGTGGCAGAAATGTTGGTGGCAGAAATGTTGGTGGCAGAAATGTTGGTGGCAGAAATGTTGGTGGCAGAAATGTTGGTGGCAGAAATGTTGGTGGCAGAAATGTTGGTGGCAGAAATGTTGGTGGCAGAAATGTTGGTGGCAGAAATGTTGGTGGCAGAAATGTTGGTGGCAGAAATGTTGGTGGCAGAAATGTTGGTGGCAGAAATGTTGGTGGCAGAAATGTTGGTGGCAGAAATGTTGGTGGCAGAAATGTTGGTGGCAGAAATGTTGGTGGCAGAAATGTTGGTGGCAGAAATGTTGGTGGCAGAAATGTTGGTGGCAGAAATGTTGGTGGCAGAAATGTTGGTGGCAGAAATGTTGGTGGCAGAAATGTTGGTGGCAGAAATGTTGGTGGCAGAAATGTTGGTGGCAGAAATGTTGGTGGCAGAAATGTTGGTGGCAGAAATGTTGGTGGCAGAAATGTTGGTGGCAGAAATGTTGGTGGCAGAAATGTTGGTGGCAGAAATGTTGGTGGCAGAAATGTTGGTGGCAGAAATGTTGGTGGCAGAAATGTTGGTGGCAGAAATGTTGGTGGCAGAAATGTTGGTGGCAGAAATGTTGGTGGCAGAAATGTTGGTGGCAGAAATGTTGGTGGCAGAAATGTGGTGGCAGAATGTTGTGGCAGAAATGTTGGTGGCAGAAATGTTGGTGGCAGAAATGTTGGTGGCAGAAATGTTGGTGGCAGAAATGTTGGTGGCAGAAATGTTGGTGGCAGAAAATGTTGGTGGCAGAAATGTTGGTGGCAGAAATGTTGGTGGCAGAAATGTTGGTGCAGAAATGTTGGTGGCAGAAATGTTGGTGGCAGAAATGTTGGTGGCAGAAATGTTGGTGGCAGAAATGTTGGTGGCAGGAATGTTGGTGGCAGAAATGTTGGTGGCAGAAATGTTGGTGGCAGAAATGTTGGTGGCAGAAATGTTGGTGGCAGAAATGTTGGTGGCAGAAATGTTGGTGGCAGAAATGTTGGTGGCAGAAATGTGGTGGCAGAATGTGGTGCAGAAATGTTGGTGGCAGAAATGTTGGTGGCAGAAATGTTGGTGGCAGAAATGTTGGTGGCAGAAATGTTGGTGACAGAAATGTTGGTGGCAGAAATGTTGGTGGCAGAAATGTTGGTGGCAGAAATGTTGGTGGCAGAAATGTTGGTGGCAGAAATGTTGGTGGCAGAAATGTTGGTGGCAGAAAATGCATCAGACGAGCCAACAGGGAGGAAGGCGAAGGTGGAACCAACGAATGAAGGCATGCTTACCAAGCGGAACCGCACTGCACACCTGTGGGTAGCTCCCGTGGCAGCAGCGGCAGGCGCAGCACGAGCAGGGCCATGAGGGGCGTTATGGCGAGCGTGGATAGCTGCAGGGAGGGCGGGGTGAGGAGGGGGAAGTGATAGGGATGAGGGATAGAGAGTGTGTGAAGGGGCAAGTGCAGCAGGGGCAGCAGCGGCAGGCGCAGCACGAGCAGAGCCATGAGGGGCGTTATGGCGAGAGTGGATAGCTGGAGGGAGGATGGGAGGGCGGTTGGGGTAGAAGAGGAATAGAGGGTGAGAACAAGGGTGCGTGGAGGTAGGGGCAGGGCAGCAAGGACCGCATGAGTAGAGCCATGAGGGGCGTTATGGCGAGAGTGGATAGCTGGAGGGAGGAGAGGGGAGTGAAAGGGATAGAGGGAGAGAAATGGGAAATGCGTAGCTGGAGAGGAGTTTTGAGTCTACTCAAAACTTGTATCTGGAGAGGCCATGAGAGGGCTGAGAGGTTGCGGGGAGGCTGGCGGCGAGGAGGCAGCATGGCGAGGCGAGTGTGGAAAGGCAAATGGAAGGGGGGGGGGGGGGGGGGGGGTGGTAATGGACGGGGCCAGAGGAAAAGGTTGAGGGGGAAGGCGGGGGGGGGATTGCAATGCAATCCCGGCATGTGTATTGCCTGGATTCCAGCAGAGTGTAAAACGCGACAAAAACTGCAAGCCACGTAATGGCCAAGTCAATGAATGGTTAGTGCGAGAGATGCTACTGGTGAAGTGCACAGAAGACGGCTGGGACGTGACTGAATAGAGGGCGCAATGGGAAACACACCGAGCCGTAGAGGTAGGCGGGCCACGAGCTGGCTGGTCCTTTTTGAGGCGCCTAAAAAACATGAGATAGGCCCATAGGCGGCTGATAGGCGGCTCAGAGAGGGGGGACACACCGAGCCGTAGAGGAAGGCGGGCCATGAGCTGGCTGCTCTGCGGAGCTCCTCCAGGTCCAACGCAATGCCTGGTGAGTGCATGTGACACAGGAGGTGATGTGGCATGGGAGGTGATGTGGCATGGATGTGACGTGGCATGAGAGGTGACGTGGCACCGGAGTACCTACAAATCCGCCTCCGCCTCTTCATTTCCCCACCCTACCAACTTTAGTGTCTAAGCTTCACTCTACCATCATCAATCTCTTCTCTTCCCTACCTACCCCACCGTACCCACCGGAGACAAAGAAGATGCCAAACGTGCAGTAGCGGGCGAGGCCGATCTTTGACTGGGCGTAGATGCCCGGAGCAGGATTCAGCACTGCCAGCGCGATTCCCGTGCTGATGGCTGCAGGAGAGGAGGGTGGAGGGGGGGAATGGTACGATTTTTCTAAGGTCTATAGCAAAGCTATCTGGGACTGGGCGAAGGCTTTGGGAGCAGGATGCAGCACTGCCAGAGCGATTCCCGTGCTGATGGCTGCAGGACCGGAGGGTGGTGGAGGGGAAATGGATATGAATAGTCCGAGCCCCAAAGCAAAGCCGATGTTAGACAGGTGGAACGTGAGTACAGCTGCCTTCCAGGACTTTCTACTCACCAACGAGGAGAAAGTTGCTGGTAACAAACGCGCGACCTCCCTTGGCGAACCTCGCGAGCGCTCCCTCTTCGCGTTTCGCCTCCATTTCGCCCTCCGCATTCCGCGGGGTCCCCTCCGAACCAGCATCCCTTCTTTCTCTTCTCCCCCCTCTTCCCTCGCTTGCGCTCGCGGAACTCCCGCGAGCTCTCAGCGCCTCTGCTGGCAAATCTCCGCCATTCCCCGCTCTCCGTTCCTCACCATTCACAGACTCCTCTCCGCTTGCCTTCCCCGCTCCAGTTCCTTCCCCGGATCCCCCGCATGCTGCTTCCCCCGATCCTCCGCCTCCCGCTTCCCCCTCCCCTCTCGTTTCCGCCTCATCCACGAGTCCCACCCCTCCGCCGATTGCAGCTCCCGGACTTGGAAGGATGGTTCTAAGGATTCTCCGGCCAGCTATTCTTTGTCCGACATAGCATCGGAAGCCTTCGGGGTTGTACGCTGCTGCTGACGATGATGCTGGGGTTATAGAAGAGATCACCCTCCGCGTCAAACGGCTTGATACATTGTTACTGGCAGAAGGTCGTGTTTCTCTCGTTACCGTTACCACTGTCCTGATGGTTACAGATGGCTTGCAAGTGATGGTTACCCCACTCTTCGCTAATCGTAAACTTTCGCTTCTACTCGCGAATGTAGAAGGCCGTGCTGTGTTTCTCAGGCTCAAGCAGTCTGAGAAAGTGGACAGTTTTGCCGTCATGGTGCTTTCACTAGCACAGGCCGTCATTCGCCGTTTCCACGGATTTGTGAAGCTGGCTGAGCCGATTCAACGTCACGCCAGCGTTATCATACGACGCCTACGGATCTCAATTACAGTCTAGCCTCAAGGCGTCCATGAATCAGGGATAAATAGCTAATGAGCAATCCCGTCAAGGTGGCTGTCGTTTCATTGACATAACAACAAAGAAAGTACAACTTTGCGTTCTACAACAATTGAAATAGCTTCCACAACGGCTGAGTGAGGTTCAGTGAAAATGAACGTTCACACAATTCGCCTGAAGGGGTCACAGCACGGATAAGGCATTCTGGCAGTTCGGTTGGATCAGCTTGCTTTGAACCACACACACGCGCGCAGCGCAAAATGACGTGGCTTCGGTACGTGCCGATCGGAGAATCTTGTTCGTCAATTTCAGTCGGTGGAGGAGGCAACAGCTTCATTGGTTGGATCAACGCCTTTCGTTGGTTGGCTTGGCTGGTAAAAGCGGCTCGAAAATGACAGATCTATCCGTTATTAGTAGCCTCGAGAAATTGTGAAATCCAGAAATGTTGCTCAATTTCGTCCTACGTCTGTAAAAAAATTCTCCTCGAACTGCATCTTTGCAACTGATTGCGGCTTCGCCTAGCGCAGGACCACAATCTCGAGAACGTCGAAGACGCTCGTTACATCACGCTCGAGACAACGAGTTCATCCATGCCGTCCATTCCGTCATCGCCGTTACGATGCTGTGAAGCTAACCGTCACGCTAACATCGTAACAGCCATGCTGTCCTGAGGTCCTTGTCGCTGAAAGCACCGTAATGTACCGTAGTTACCCTCTCTTTTTGCTTTCAAAACCGTACTGTTCGCATTTCACAGCCCCTCCGTTTCCGAATTTACCTCACTGTACCTCCACAATGCTGCAAGTCTAGCCAGTCCCGAGGTCCCCACACACACAAGCGTTTCTTTTCTATTTTTCATGGCTTCCAGAAGAACGTAGTCTGTGCCACTTCCATGTGGTTCACCACGAATCACGATCACGACACGACGAGCATAAGCTGCATTGTCCGTACCTCACACGTCCCACTCGTGGCTGCTTACGTGGTCCCTCAGCTTGCTGCCGTAGCGTAACTGATTGTTCTCTTTCGCGCTGACCCTGGTCAACGTTCATTCGCTTCCCTCCATTGTTGGCGCGGTTCAAAATTTCGAACTTGACATCCTGCGAGGCTAGATAGCTTAGGGCTGAGCTGCCTGAGTTAGTTCCGTCATCATTTTATTTCTAGTAGTAGCCTAAGAACCTTGCTTTCAAGTAGTAGTCTAGCCATTTTGCACGGCGAGCAGCTTAGGGTAGTCTGACCTCGTCTGCATTTCAACTTTTCCGACTTCGCCGACGCCGACCAGCGTCCAGCTACCAATCTAACATCTTTACCTTAGTGTTTTTTTTTAGTCTTCGCGCCTTTTTACCCAGCAAGACTTCGTTAGGACAAGAGCATGTAATAAGGTAGTGTTGCCAAACTCGAGCAACGCCGCGTCTGTTGTCGCGCAGTTCAGACTTGTGTTGAAGGCCTGGCGCCTTGAAAGAAACGCGTTTCAAGGGCTGGCCCCCGTCAGTTAACGGGTTTCAAAGGCTAGCTTTTTTTATCACGAAAACATGGCATCATCCGCTACCGACCGAACCGGACTCTCTCCGCCGAGGCTCTGGATGGTGGAAGCGAATTCCGTCAAGAACATGGAACTGAACGGTGCTCTGTTAACGTTAGCGTTACACGACCGGCAGAAGCAGCTGGAGAAGGAAGCCGCTGAGAGAAGACTCGGAGTTCCCGGTGGTAGTGACGCGGATAGGGAAGCGGCAGGAGGAGGAGGAGGAGAGGTGGAGCCGAATCAAGAAAGAAGAGGAGCAGCAGGAGCAGGAGGACGCGAAGGGGTGTTGGAGTCGAGTCCGGGGATTGAAATTGTGCTGTGCTTCGTGGCGGGAGAAGGGCTAGGCATTTGTGAGTACTGCTGCCCTAACCTCTCGTGTGTACATGCGTTTCTGACGTCTCAAAACTCGTTACAATGGGGCGGACTGGCATGGAGTATAGGGTTGGACGCGATTGTGCTGTGCTTCGTGGCGTATAATAGCTCAGCGTTTGTGAGTAGTGTTGACCAAAACCCTCCTGTGTATAGGTATCTGTAGTAGTCCAGTGTGTGTTTGGTTTGGTGGGCCTTAGGCGAGGTCAAGTGATATTTCTTTTTTTCACTGCCTCCGCGTTCTCCTGCATTTCCTATCTCGTGCTGGAGCAGCCGCTGTTGGAGCAGTGTGGGCAGGCGCGCGCGGGTGCCTGTGCGCGTGCACGTGGAATGGGGGCAGTGGCGGAGGCCGAACGAGGGGGCAGCAGCACTGGCGTGACAAGGCCTTACTGAGACACCTCTTTTCTTCTCTGCTAAAGCACCCTCTCTTTTTAAATCCTGCTTCCCTCCCGCCCCTTCCCCTTCTTTTCAGTGGGCGCGGCCCTCCAGCAGAAGAGCGGTGGGGGCAGCGAGGGGGTGTCCCCTGTACTGCAAGCGCTGCTGCACTCCCTGCTGAAACCCCCTCTTCTTTCTTCTGCTTCCGCCCTGCCCCACTCCCTCTCTATCTCAGTGGGCGCGGCCCTCCAGCAGAAGAGCGGTGGGGGCAGCAGCGAGGGGGTGTCCCCTGTACTGCAGGCGCTGCTGCACTCCCTGCTGAAACCCCTCTTTCCCCTTCTGCTTCCCGCCTGCCCTACCCTGTCTCTCCTCAGTGGGCGCGGCCCTTCCGCAGAAGGGCAGCGGGGGCAGCAGCGAGGGGGTGTCCCCTGTACTGCAGGCGCTGCTGCAGCCGCTGCTGGCGCAGTGCGGGCAGGCGCGCGTGCCTGCGCGCGTGCACGTGGACTGGGGGCAGCGGCGGGACGAGGCGCTCTGTCAGGCCGTGCGGGCCACTGCAGCAGAACGGCTCTACGTGGGGAACAAGAGGTGGGTGGGTGGGGATCAAGCGGGATCTGCCAGGCCGTGTGGGCCACTGCAGCAGAACGGCTCTACGTGGGGAACAAGAGGTGGGTGGAAGCAGCAAGGGAAGTGGGTGGGTGGGTGGAAGGGGACGACGAGGTGAGCTGGTTGCGTTGTTGTGCCTTGTCTACCCCCTGAATGCAGCAAGGCAACCAGGCTCGTGGCACGGCAATCAATCAGTATCAAACTCCTCCCATTTCCCCCTCTTCTCCCACCCCTCCTCCCCCTTCTCCCCACCCCAGGTTTGTCTTCCGCCTTCTCACTCAATCCACACACCCCTTGCTCCGCCGCCTCCCCCCTGGCTGCATGCTAGTGGTGGGCCAACCAGGCTCCTCCTCCTCCAAACGCTCACGCAAGTCCAAACCACGCAAAGGCATCCCCTCCAGTCCAAATCCTGCCGCCCCTGTTGCGTCGGCATCGCCTCGCTTCCCTGACTCGCATTCCTCGTCTTCTTCTGCCACTCCTGCTTCACGCAAAGCTGGCTCCTCTGGCTCTTCCTCCTCCTCTGCGGCTCATGCTCCTGCTGCCACCGCCACCGCCGCTGCTGCTGCTGGCTATCCTGCTGATGAACACTGTTACGACAATGACGGCGGAGAAAACGACGCTGGAAGTGACAACGACAACGACTATAACGAGAACGACTATAACGAGGATGAGGATGATGAGGACGACGACGACGACGATGACGATGGGTACGACGCGGTGTGTCGGCCCAAGTCCTCCTTCACTATAGCGGACTGGGAGGCAGAGCTGCAGCGGGTGGCCATCGGGCAGCAGAGGATCGTGTCTCTGTGGGATAGAGCGGAGGTGGCGGGTCGTGTGCGTGCCGGGAGTGCTGCTGCCGCCTTGGGAAGCCCTGGCGGGGTGCCTGCTGCTGGTAGCGTTGGCTTTGGTGCTGGTGCTGCTGGTGCTGCTGGTGCTGCTGGTGGTGTTGGTGCTGGTCGTGGTGGTGGTGGTGGGGGTGTTGCTGCTGGTGCTGGGGTGCCAGCGGTGCTGCTGCCAACACCGTCGACAGTGCATGAGGAGCAGCATCAGCAGCAGGTGCTGAAGCAGCTTCAGTTGCTGCAGCAGCAAAAACAACAGCAACAGCAGCAGCAGTCACAGCAACAGTCGCAGCAGCAGTCGCATCACCTGCCCGAGCAGCAGCAGAACCTGCCCGCCGGGCAGCGAAAATTCCGCCCGTTGCGAATCATCGTCCCAGATAGCACCTCCCCCCACCCGTCCCGCACACCCACCCCCAGCCCTGGCTGCCTTAGCGCCTCCAGCAGAGACGGGCGAACCCCAGGTGAATCCTCAGGTGCTTTTGGGCCGTATGCTGGGAACAGTGGCAGTATGAACAGTAACACAGGATTCAGCCGCGCGGCTAGTCAAGACAACCCAAACACACTCGTCCCCCTGGCTTCCCCCAGAGGCTTTTCTCTCCCTGGAACAAGCCCTGGAGCATTAACCCCAGGAGGAAGAGCAGCAGGAGGAGGGGTGGGAAGAAGAGGAGGGGGCATGGGGGACGAGGCGGGGGCGGCAGGGGACAGAACAGCTGTAGCTGTAGCAGCAGCGGCGGCGGCAGGAGCAGCAGCAGGGTCGAACAGTGGGCCAGTGTCAGAGGCAGACCGGCAGCGCATGATGAGGCTGCAGCAGCAGATGCGGCAGCAGTTCACTGGGCTGCAGAAGATTCTGGTCGAGCAGCACAAGCCGTCCCCCGTGCACCCTGCTCTGGCAGGCGGGCAGCAGCAGCAGCAGGGGCAGCAGAGGCAGGAACAGGGGCAGCAGAGACAGGGGCTGCAGCAGGTGCAGCAGCAGCAGGATCAGCAGGAGAAGCAGGATGAGCAGCGGCAGCAGGGGACAGGCCACCACACGCGCAGGCACTCCGGCTCTTCCTCTTCTGCCTCCATCACTCCCCAGGGCACCCCCCCTCCCCACCCCACCAGGGGCCGAGGCTTCTTCCCCTCTTCCTCCTCCGTCAGTGGTACTACCAGCACCAGCAGCAGCAGCAGCAAGGGGGGACAGGGGGGGCACGGGGGGTATGGCAAGGGGACGGGGCAGGGGGAGAAGACGTATGGTGGGGAGAGATCGCATGGGGAGAGATCGCATGGGGAGAGATCGCATGGGGAGAGATCGCATGGGGAGAGATCGCATGGGGAGAGATCGCATGGGGAGAGATCGCATGGGGAGAGATCGCATGGGGAGAGATCGCATGGGGATAAGTCTCCTCTGTGGAAGGGGTTAGAGAGTGTGGCAGCTGGGTTGTCTGCTATTCACTCTGATATGCAAGCTGCCAAGAGCTCAGGTGGACGTTCAGGTGGTTTCTCAGGTGGTTTCTCAGGTGGGTTTTCAGGTGGGCGGACCGGGTGGCATTCGCACCAGGGGAGCGAGGATTTCCATGTGAAGGGAAACGAGTTTGAGGGAATCGACACGAGCCTACTCATCGTTCCTCGTATCGCCCCAACCTCAGCCTCTGTAGGAGGTTCGGCGGCAGGCTTAGGAGCAGCTTCGGTAGGCTCGCCGTCGCCGAACGTAACCCCGCTCACAGGCCCAGTGGGGGGTAGAGGGACCGGAGGAATGAAGGTAGCAAGGACTGTATCCCACGAGCAAGCAATAGGGGGAGGGAGAAAGGGAGGGAGAGAAGGAGGAAGCAAGGCAGAAAGAGAGAGCGAAAGAGGGATTTTGAAGGGTGGATTGGAGCAAAGGGGAAATCACCCTGAGAAAAGCTTGAAGGGAGAGGGATCCCCAGCTTTACCCCAGCAACCTGTGGTGGTGGGGAAGAAGCTGTGGGTGTCTGGCAGGAGGAGCATGGGGAGTGAGGGTGAGATGGGGGGTGGGGTCGAGGCAGTAGCAGCAGAGGTTGCAGCAGCAGTAGGGAACGCTGCAGCGGTGGCAGCAAGAGAAGGGTCAAGAGATGGTGGGTCGTGTGGTGCTGCTAGCCCTGCTAACAGCAGCAGCAGCAGTAATCCGGGAATGGGGAGCACTGAGCAGCAAGCTTTCCCTATCCCGCTTCCTTCCTCCTCGTTCTCGTCCTCCTCCTCCCAAGCCGGATTCCAAACCAGCCGGGTAGACTCGGCGGACTGCCACCGCTTCCCCCCGGACCAGATTCTCCGAGCCACGGGGGGCTTCTCGCCCTTGCAGCTGATTGGCCAAGGCAGGCTCGGGCCGAGCTACCGGGGGGAGATATTTGGGTGCCAGGTGGCGATCAAACTGCTGACTGTGCATGAGGACACGTGTGGAAGAACAGACAAGAATGAGAAGACTGAAAAGACTGCAGTAGATGGTGCAGAGGGGGGAGGGGGAAAGCAGGAAGAGGAGCGAGTGGTGGAAGCAGATGGTGCCGCTGTTGCCTCATCGGGTGCGTTTGGCTCCTTCGGTTCATCCGGTCTCCTTGATCCGTCCACAGAAGGGGGAGGTCAAGTGTCCCGAGAGAGAGTACAAGCAGCAGTGCAAGCAGCAGTGGACGTGTTAAGGCGGCTCAGGCACCCGCACCTGCTGCTGCTGATGGGCCACTGCCCCGAGTACCCCTGCCTTGTGTATGAGTTCGCTCCTGGGGGCAGCCTCTCCTCCCGCCTCTCCCGCATCCACTCCCTTATTGCCGCTGCCACTGCTGCTGCTGCTGGTGATGGTGGTGGTGGTTCTGGTGGTGCTGGTGGTGCTGCTACTGGAGCAGAGGAGGGTGTTGGTAACAGCAGCAGCGGTGCAGGGGACGGTGCTGCTGCTTCTCCTAGTGGAGAACGGGGCATTACCTTCAGAGAGGAGGAAGAGGAGGAGCTAGAGGCAATATGGCTGTCCTGGGTGGACCGGCTGCGACTGGCCTCTGAGCTGGCAGGAGCGCTGCTCTTCATGCACCAGCACTCGCCGCCCGTGCTGCACGGCGCCGTGACTCTACAGAACGTGCTTCTGGACCGAAACTCCGCGTGTAAACTCAGCGGTGCTGGCCTCTCATTCTCCTCGTCTCCCTTCTATGGTAGCCTGGGGAGCAGCCCTCTCTCTGCTTCTGCCTCTGCCTCGGATTCTGACCCCAGCAGCAGCACAGCAGTGGGAGCGGAGGGTCCAGGCCAGCATGGCCCCAGCAGCACGGGCGTACAAAGTGACGACCTGCATGCATACGGCATTGTGGTGTTACAGCTGGTAACCGGCATCACCAGCCCCTCACTTATCCACTCCCTCATGCACACGCACTCGACTGCAGCAGGAGGTTCAGGGGCAGGTGGTGGGGGTGGGATGGATGGGCACAGGGAAGACTCAGCTGGGGAAGCAGCAGGCAGGGTGGCCGGGGGAGGGGTTTCTGGGGGAGGTGTTACCTGCGGGTTCAACCTGGCTGAGGCTGTAGACGTGTTTTTGAGCCGACTGGATGTGACAGCAGGGGAATGGCCGGTGGAGATTGCATCTGTGGTGGTGCTTCTGGCTCTGCGCTGTGCTTCGGGACAGGCAGAGCTTCGGCCGGATCTGGCGGCTGAGGTGCAGCCGGCCCTGTCGGCTTTGGCTCGGGAAGCGGAGGAGAGTTTTGGGCGGGCAGCCCGGCAGATGCTTAGGTCTGCCCTGAGAAGAAGGGACTTCTCTTGCTTCCAAAAGAAAGCTGTGAAGGTATGGTGTCATATTATCGTCATGTGCTTGCCTTGTTTGCTGTCCTTGGATCTAAACTTAACGTGTTTGTTCTGCGTTTTTCTTCTTTTGCAGATTGAAGATGAGGCATCTCCTGCTGCCGTTCATGACACAACGAGGCATCATAGAGTTAGGAAGCTAATGGAGTCCCTAGTCCCGCACAAGTCTCCTTCGCTGCGTGCGAAGGGATGGATGAGAACAAAATCTATCAAAGGGTAGACACATCCAGCTTGTTGTGTCCATCCTTGTCACGCTATGCTGACCATGCTTGATATATACGAAGTAGTATGAAAGTGGCTGCATTAATAATTCCTTCAAACAGGTGATCTGTGCCATCATATTCCTAATGTGCTGAACGTGAAAGTGTACCGATTCGTGGGAGTTGGAGCACAAGGCGAGGTTAGGGCGGGTCCAACTCGTTTCGTTTCGGGGAATAACACCCCTGTAACAAAATGTTGACTGTCCGGATAACAAACACCCAAATCGAACCTACACACGTGCAGCGTCATGTTGACCCCAGGCGGGCACAGGACCTGCTCAAACGAACTGGTGTACCATCAACACAGACACAACATCCCTCCCGTATGAACAGAAGTTGATGGGTAAAAAATCATGCGTGCAATCGGCAGACTTCGTCAGGGGTTTTTGTGGGAAGACACTCTAGGAACTGGAACTGCTGCGAGACAGGTTACCGTCTGACGAAACTAATACAGTTCGCAATCACGAATACACTCTGTTACTGGGATGTGTGTGTGAGAAAGTTTGATTTGCTCTTGCTTACCAGTTCCCTAATATTTTCGGAAAATTTTCGAGTTTGAAATGTGTTGTGGCACGAAACTCGTTTTGCATGGCGGAAAACCGAGCGCGTCATCCCGGCTAGTCTCATGATTTGACGCGGTTACCCTACAGAAAAAGGTTACAGAGGCTAATATTGACCTGAGCTGTGATGAGTTGGACCCGCCCTTACGTGCTCACTCATACTGTCGGCTGACACACTTCCAGACGGAGCCGCAGTTTCCCGTTTCCATCCCAACCGCCAGTAGACGGAAGCAGAGGGATGGATGGATAGATGTGTTGGACGGAGGAAACGCGGATGACAAGGCACGGACGGAATCGGCGTTCTCAGTTAGCAGTGACACCACTGACCACTCCAAAGGGTGCCGTCGGACGGAGTTATCTCTGTTCCAATTCCAGTCTGTCAGGGAGCGGACAGAAGCATTCTGTCAGAGAGTTATCTAGGGAGGGCAACAACTGAATGCTCGTTATGGGCTCTAGACTAGCCTGAATGCTCATTATCAGCAGGCTGGTTGTGTCTGTCTGTGCAGCCATTATCAGTGCTCAACGCTCGTTATCTTAGCCTTATAATGCGCTAGCGTGGCTCCATTGTCCTTGTTCGTTCACTTCAGACTCCTCTAGCTTTCGGTTGATGTGTCACTGAAGTCTCCCAATGGTAAATCTGCTCTTTCGTCACTCGACGTCGCCGTCTCAGGCGCGCTGTTCTTGTACTTAATATCTGTTGTGTTGTGGTAGGCTTCCTCGAAAGTGAGTCCGCTTCACCTCCTCCTGATTGCTCGTATTTTCGGCCTCGATTCTGCCTTTCATGAGGTAGGACAGATATAATACTGTTACGGAAGCCGGCTCACAATAATAGGGTAGGGTAATCCATCATAGATCGAATCTCTCTGTACATTAGAATCTAAATTTGGTTGTAGATTGTATCGGTCATGCCTCAATCAGCCGTGATTAGACGTCGAGTCAGCAACGAAGGCAACGCAGTGCGATCCACCCTTCAAGAACCGCTACTGTCATGCGACGACCGACACGACGACGATGACGACCGACGCGATCCGCCTGCGACGTCTACGACCTGTGCGAATCCCGCGAATGGTGTCGCCAGCCCAAATGCCGACGCGAAGGTGGGTCAGTCGTTGATGCTTTATAGAGCCATGAACGTGAAATTAGAAATAAGCAGTAGGACCATTAACATTCATGCTGATGTTATCATGTTTTTGTGCAGATGGGATACGGCATAATCATCAGTTTGGACTTCATAACATTTTCTTGACATCGTCTAATAGCCGTCGTCTATACCTCCTTTGTACCTTCCTCCACAAATGAACATCTTACATTACATCGTCGTTAGGCCGCCTCAGCTAGCGATTACACCCGCGTGTTCTCAGCCTTTCTGTCCAGCTCGTGATTCCCTTAGTCGTGACGGACGTCCTTTTATCCATTCTCTCCGTTCTTTTGGAAGGACGTTCTGGTTGATTCGTCCTTTGGACAGAAATATCTTTTTTTATCCGTTCCTCTCACGGACATTTTCATTATTCCGTGCAGTCGCCAGGATCTCCAAGGCCAGGGGAAGTCGGCTCGAGAGTGTGGCAGCACCTTCTCGGATCATTCGTCTTTCAATGGGCCTCATGGCTAGGTGGGTCTAGTATTATCATTCTCTTTTTCCCTTTTCTACTGCTTCAAAGAGTTTTGAAATGATACAAGCAATGTTGTTTATTTCTAAGGAGGTTGTACCCAAGATAAGATTGATCGTTCTATCCCCCTTCTTCCCCTGACTCACTCCCTTACCCCACTACTCTTCCTCCATCTCTCCCTCCTCCCCTGCCACCAGGCCAGCTCATGGCGGGTGCGCGCACCAAAGTTCTTGCTCTGGGCGGCTCTTTTGCCTCCACGCTGCTGCTCCCCCCGCACGCGCGCGCACCCTCCCGCGGAGGCCCCCCGCAGCTGCGCGGGGGAGTTCCCGCCCTCCTCCCCATCACCCTCTCCGAACCCCAGGAGCGCTCCCTGAAGCAGCTACAAACGAGGATACAGCCGCCGTTTGAAAACGACAAGGAGGAGCATAGATTGGCGCTGGTAGAGCTGTGGGAGCAGGCGTATCCGGGGCGGGTGTTGACTGAGGAGGTGGAGGTGGCGGGGTGGAAGGAGATGGGGTGGCAGGGGAAGAATCCGGCCTCGGATTTCAGGGGCGGGGGATTTTTCGCGCTGGAGAATTTGGTGTACTATGCTCGCACGTACCCGGTGCGTTGGGGGAGGGAGGAGGGGAAGGGAGCGGGGAAAGGGAGGGGGGGAAGGGAGCGGGGAAAGGGAGTGGGGGAAGGGAGGGGGGGAAGGGAGGGGGAGAAGGGAGGAGGGGAAGGGAGGGGTAGGGTGAGAAGATGTTTTGGAGTTACGGAAAAGAATTCTTAAACAAACGTAGTTTTCCTTGTTCTTTCTGTGTGTGGCTGCCGAGGTGGTTCCAGCGCGTCATGCACAAGCAGGAGGATTCTGAAATGTCTTGAGAAAAAAACTTTCTCTACACGTGTTTTCTGCTTGCCCTTACTGTGCCTGACTGCAGAGGTCGTTTCAGCGCATCATGCACAAGCAGGAGGGTCGCCGGGTTGAGTGGGAGTACCCGTTTGGAGCAGCAGGGGTGAACATCACCGTACTCCTTATAAGCATTCTCGACTTGCGCAAGGGTGAGCGTCCGAGTCTGGAAAGAATGCCAGTTCTCCCTCCCTGTCCAAGAAGACAGACAATCTCATCCCTCCCTTGCACCCCTCCCATCCTCCAATCCCTCACATCCTTCACATTTGTGAATATCCTCTGTGTGACGTTTGATGTGCTGGATGGGCGATTCCCATCTTTGTTCCCCTTCCCCTTGTATGTGCTCCTCCTTCCAATCTCTTTTCAGGTATCCCTGCAACAGACCTTTCTGAACAGTTTATCAGAGCACCTGTCGGCGTCAGGTGCTGAACGGGTCGTTCTCCTCCCAATCTCTGTTTCCCTTTCCCTTGTACATTCTCTCCTCTCTCATTGTTTCTCCAGACATCCCCACAACAGTAGCTGGACGGGCCTTCCTGAAGATGCTACCAGAGCACCCAACAGCGTTTGAGGACCTCTACTGTGTGACGTTTGAGATGCTGGACGCTAACTGGCTGGAGCTCAAGGCGTCGTACATGGAATTCAATGTGAGTCAATGGAAGTCAACCACAGTTTGTTTTCAATGTGAGTCAATGGAAGTCAACCACAGTTTTGTTTTAATGTGAGTCAACCACATATACATGCACGTGCACACGAACATGCACTGCCCTTGTGTTCATCTCTACTGTGTCACGTTTGAGTTGCTGGACGCTAACTGGCTGGAGCTCAAGGCGTCGTACATGGAGTTGAATGTGAGTCATGCAAGTCAATGCGAGTCATGCAAGTCAATGTGAGTCATGCAAGTCAATGTGAGTCATGCAAGTCAATGTGAGTCATGCAAGTCAATATGAGTCATGCAAGTCAATATGAGTCATGCAAGTCAATTTGAGTTATGCAAGTCAATGTGAGTCATGCAAGTCAATTTGAGTCATGCAAGTCAATGTGAGTCATGCAAATCAATTTGAGTCATGCAAGTCAATTTGGAATACGAATCAACTGGATTGAGTGTCTCCCAATCATTGTTTCCATTCCCTCCCCACTGTCCTTTCTCACTCATCGCCACCCAGGTGTTCATGCAAGCCACACGAGCAGAGCTGGAGCGACATATGTGCCAGCCCAGCTTCTGTTCTCACTCTCTCCGCCCATCCCCCCCCTTTGCTCGCCACCCCCCTCCCCCTCACTCAGGTGGTCATGCAAGCCACACGAGCAGAGCTGGAACGCCATATGTGCCAGCCCAGCTTCACTACCATCTCTGACCTTCCCGCCTTCGCCAGACTCACAGCAGAGTAGCCCACCCATCCACCCACCCACCCAGGCATACACATGCATGCATGCACACTCCTTTCAACCAGCCTTCCCTTCACCAGCCCAGCTTCACTGCCATCTCTGACCTTCCCGCCTTCGCCAGACTCACAGCAGAACAGCCCACCCGTCAAGCCGCCCACCCGAACACAAACATGCATGCATGCACACTCCTTCCAACCTCTCCCTTCGCCAGCCCAGCTTCACTGCCATCTCTGACCTTCCCCACCTTCACCGCATTCACAGCAGAGTAGCCTGCCTTGCCTGCGCACATGCATTGCATGCCCCATAGTGGGGAATAAGAGCCTTGGCTCACACTGTAGTTGTGTTGGCTCACCCTAGTTTTGTTTGTTTCATCATGTAGTTGAATCATTCGTATTTTGATATGGTGTAAGGCAGGTCGATTTGTTTGTGAATGCTTTGGTGTAGCTGGTATATTATCGAGTGTCTGCTTGCTCTGATTGTTTGTTTGAATAGTGCATAGTGGAAGCAGGCCAGTTTCAAATCACTACACCCTTCCTGGTCATGAACTCTCTACAGTATTATCCATCAAGGCCCAACATTGCTAGTAAACAAATTTGTACACATGATCAGTTCATCCATATTTGTTGAGATCATGGAAAACATAACAGTCATATGCACATTTCACAGCGTGACACAGAGGGACAGGCAAGGGAAGCACCCTAAGAAACACATGAGTGCTCCTAAACACCACTACCATCAATCGAACCATCACCTCACCTCACCATCACCGTTGGCATCCTTTATCGAAGAGCAGGAAGACAGTATCGGGTGGAGAGAGACAGGCAGAGGGGCTTGGGAAGATGGAGGAAGGAGGAGGGGGAATGGGGGAAGGGGAAGAAGGAAAGGGAGAAAGACCGGAAGCGGATAGTACTGGGGCAGGAAACGGGGGAGAAATTGGGAAAGGGAGGGGGCTAGGGAGGGGAGGGAAAAGCGGGAAGGGAGACTTTCTTACACAATAGGGTAAGACCCGCATGAGTCTACCCAGACCTGCACCGACCAGCACCAATGCCCCTTCCCCACCACCTCCTCTTCTCCTCTCCCATCACCTCCCCAACCTCCTCTATTGCTACAGCTATCCCCATGAGCAATGGGGGGAGTATGCCTTGCTATAATACACACCAAAGGGAGGGGTATATCCCTGTACTACCCCTCCACAACCCCCTTCCTCACTCTCCCCCTCCCACACCTCCCAAGCTACCTCTAGTCATCAAATATATCCTCATGATTAGTCACGGGGATCTGCCGCATCTTCTTGCATTCAGGAGGAGTCTCCCCGTGAAAGCTCTCCCAGAGGGCCGCCTTGCCATCCCACCCCACCGACGCCAGGGCTGGCCGCATGCCCCCTGTCCCTGCACCGTCGCCAGCGCCCCCTCCCTTACACTGCCGCACTTCATGCCCCCTTCTCCTGCAATACTGCACCGCCAGCACCCCCTCTCTCCAACCCCCCTCTACTCGTCAAATATATCCTCATGATTAGTCACGGGGATCTGTCGCATCTTCTTGCATTCAGGAGGGGTCTCCCCGTGAAAGCTCTTCCACACAGCCACTTTGCCGTCAAACGCCACCAACGCCAGTGACCCCATCTCCCCTCTACTCGTCAAATAAGTCCTCATGATTAGTCACGGGAATCTGCCGCATCTTCTTGCATTCAGGCGGCGTCTCCCCGTGAAAGCTCTCCCACACAGCCACCTTGCCGTCCCACCCCACCGACGCTAGAGCCGGCCGTGTGGGGTGCCAGGAGCAGTCCCGGACAGTCGACCCGTGGTGCTTCAGCTTTGCCACTTGCTTTCCTGTCAACTGTAGATACAGCAGGGAGGGAGGAGAGGAAGGGTGCAAAGAGGTAGAGGTGCAAAGAGTTACATCAAGAGCTGGCCGAATGGGGTGCCAGCAGCAGTCCCGGACAGTCGACCCGTGGTGCTTCAGCTTTGCCACTTGCTTGCCTGTCAGTAGGCGGAGGGGAGGGGAAGCGCATAACCCCATGGCAGCTGACTGACACCCATTCTCTCATGTCTCGCATAATGCATGTCACTCACTCTCTCTACCACATACCAGGTCGAATATGTAGACAGCCCCATCGTGTGTGATAAGTCGATTTTATAGGCGCCGCAAGGGTAGACATTACCACATACCAGGTCAAATATGTGGACGGCCCCACCGTGCAGGTACATACTGTTATCCTTAGGTGACTTTTGAGTCGACTCAAAAGGCCCCACCGTGCAGGTACATACTGTTATCCTTGGAACAGAAGACCAATTTTCTACCTCTCTCTCTATAACCCATTCACTCACTCTCTACCACATACCAGGTCAAAGATATACACAGCGCCGTCGTGTGAGAGAGGTGTGATAATGTGAGACACACCCCCGATGCGTTGCACTCACCAGGTCAAAGATATACACAGCACCGTCGTGCGACCCAGAGTAGACAAATCGCTGGGCCGTGGAGTGCAGAGGGGAAAAGTAGCAGCGGATGAGCGTCTGCAGCACGTGGTGGTTGCGGTACGTCATGAGTGACTGGTCGCTGGGGTGTGCGACCCTCATGCCCCTGCCCGGGTAGTCCATCCAACGATAGTCCCACTGGAAGAAGGGGATTCGCGGAGGGGGGAGACTGCAGAGAGAGAGGAGGGGGGAGAGGCGGAAAACAGGAACAGAGACAGAGGCAGAGGCAGAGACACAAACAAACAGAAGGAGGGGAGCAGCGGATGAGCGTGTGCAGCACGTGGTGGTTGCGGTAAGTCATGAGTGACTGGTCGCTGGGGTGTGCGACCCTCATTCCCCTCCCGGGGTAGTCCATCCAGCGATAGTCCCACTGGAAGAAGGGGATTCGCGGAGGGGGGAGACTGGCAGGGGGAGGGGGAGGGAGGTAGGCAGAGACAGGGACATAGACAAGGAGAGAGAGTGACAGAGATAGGAAAAGGACCGTTCAAAAGAGGGAGACAAAGAAAGAGAGAGAGGGCGATGAGAAACAGTTAGAGGATGTCCCACAACAACTTCATCGTCTGGTCCTTGCTGTTGGTGCCTCTGATTTATCGCTCTCTCACACGCATGCTCACATGTACTAGTTATTAACATATAGACTCGTTAGAAACATATAGACATTATAAACTCACTCTTGACTCGGATGTCCCACAGCTTCATCGTCTGATCCTTGCCGTTGGTGACACTGGTTGAACACTCACACACACACATGCTAACACGTACTCGTTATAAACTCACTCTTCATAAGCAGCATGGTCCATCATGACTCGGATGTCCCACAGCTTCATCGTCTGATCCTTGCCGTTGGTAAGAAAGCATCTAGCGTCCCCTTTAGAAGCCAGATGCGTTATACCCTCTGTGTGCCCCACCAGCACCCCCACCGGCTTGTTCCGACACCCCACTCCCTGCCTCTCCCCCCCACCACCACTGCCACCACCACCACTAGCACCACCAGCAGCACCAGCACCAGCGCCAGCACCAGCAGCACCAGCAGCAGCAGAACTAGCAGCGCTAGCAGCACCGCCAGCAGAGTGACTGAAGGGAGGAGGTCCAACAGGGTCGAGCAGTCGCAACGGGCCGATGGGCTCGGTGTTGTCAAGCAGGCGGCGGTCCCACACCTTGCAGATGCGATCGTCACTGCCCGAGTAGATGAGCTGCGAGGTCTCGTCCGCGAATGCCACTGCGTTCACATCGTCCTGAAGTGAGAAGGGACGGGGGATTGAAGGGGTTCCACTGAGGTCAAAGGCAGTCAATGCGGTCAGGTGCGGTCAGGTGTGTGGTCCATCGGGCTCCCAACGGGGTCGAGCAAGCGCAGGGGCCCGATGGGCTCGGTGTTGTCTAACAACCGTCGGTCCCACACCGTACAGATGCGATCGTCACTGCCCGAGTAGATGAGTTGGGAGGTCTCGTCTGCAAAAGCCACAGCATTCACATCGTCCTGGAGAAGCGGAGTGGGGAGGAGGAGGGAGAAGGGAGGACGGAGGATGGACCAGTGCACAGGTCAAAGACGTAGAGCGACCGACCGCTGCTGCTACCCTCAAGCAGTGAGGCAGGCACTTGGATTTACCTGAAACCAGGAGCCTAAAAGGTGTCTCCCTAGCCTAAAAGGTGTCTCCCTAGCCTAAAAGGTGTCTCCCTAGCCTAAAAGGTGTCTCCCTAGCCTAAAAGGTGTCTCCCTAGCCTAAAAGGTGTCTCCCTAGCCTAAAGGTGTCTCCCTAGCCTAAAAGGTGTCTCCCTAGCCTAAAAGGTGTCTCCCTAGCCTAAAAGGTGTCTCCCTAGCCTAAAGGTGTCTCCCTAGCCTAAAAGGTGTCTCCCTAGCCTACCTGGTGTGCCTTCACGCGGAGAATCGGCTGATTCCTCTCCCAATCGAAGACGTAGAGCGAGCAATCGCTGCTGCCCATGACGAGCTGATCAGCAAGCATGACCCCACCAGGTGCGCCCCTAGCCTACCAGGTGCGCCCCTAGCCTACCAGGTGCGCCCCTAGCCTACCAGGTGCGACCCTAGCCTACCAGGTGCGCCCCTAGCCTACCAGGTGCGCCCCTAGCCTACCAGGTGAGCCCCTAGCCTACCTGGTGTGCCTTCACTCGGAGAATCAACTGATTCCTCTCCAAATCAAACACGTAGAGCCAGCAATCGCTGCTGCTCGCGATGAGCTGATCAGCCACGTGTAGAGAGGGTGTTTTTGAGGCGTCACAAAAACACCGCGTGTAATGAGTCGTGTTTTGAGTCGACTCAAAACTTGAGTCGACTCAAAACAAAAACACCCTCTCTACTAGTAGCGAGCAATCGCTGCTGCCCGTGACGAGCTGATCAGCAAGCATGACCCCACCAGGTGCGCCCCTAGCCTACCAGGTGCGCTTTGACTCGAAGGATGGGCTGGTTCCTCTCCGGGTCAAAGACGTAGAGCGAGCGATCGCTGCTGCTGCTGCCCGTAACGCTATGACATGGATTTACCTAAAAGCTTAAGCCTACCTGATGGGCCTTCACTCGAAGAATGGGCTGGTTTCTCTCCAGGTCAAAGACATAGAGCGAGCGATCGCTGCTGCCCGCGATGAGCTCCCGACCGTCGGATGAGAATTGCAGCGACCAGATGCCAAAGCTGCGCTCCCTGCGTCTCGATTCCACTGCTGTGAAGTTCAGCTCCTCGTGAATGTCCTGATGGCGAAGGGGGAGGAGATGAGGGGAGGGGTGAGAACGGGAGGGGAAGGGGTTGGGGATGAGTGTGTGACCAGATGCCAAAGCTGCGCTCCCTGTGTTGCGCTCCTCATGTATGCCGTGATGGCGGAGTGGGGAAAGGGGTGGATATGAGAATTGGGGCAACCAGATGTCAAAACCATGGAAAGGTGTGGAAAGCGCTCTCTGCATCTCAACTCAACTCCACATTCGACTCCTCGTGCAGTGCATGGCAAGAAGTTGAATCTCATGACGGAAAGATATCGAGCTGACTTTTGATTCGACTCAAAAGATATCAACAAATACAACAAGCGAAAGAAAGCATGTGGAAGGAACATGTAGAAAACGGATGAAACAAACAAACACAAAACATGACTTTATTATTATCAAGAATGGAGGTTTCTTATGGACACATTTTCTCCGACCGTGGCTGACTCACCGTGACATTAGCAAGCGACTCAACCTCCCCGCTCCCATAGCCGACGTTCACCAGATGCACGATGGGCGTGATGGATGCATACACCTGTAAAGGGGACACGCAGAGAGGAACGAGAGAGAGGAAGAAGAGAGAGAAGAAGCGGAGTGAAGAGGAGAGAAGAGGGACGGAGCGAAAAGAGGAGGAGAGAAGGGAAGTGGAGAGAAGGGAAGTGGAGAGAAGGGAAGTGGAGAGAAGGGAAGTGGAGAGAAGGGAAGTGGAGAGAAGGGAAGTGGAGAGAAGGGAAGTGGAGAGAAGGGAAGTGGAGAGAAGGGAAGTGGAGAGAAGAGAGGTGAGAACCAGGGTAGGCGTGGTTTAAGCACTCAAGCCATGCATGCAGGGATGGAGAGGTAAGGGTTACCAACCCAAGCTATTCAGCGATTTCTGTAGCCAAGGGTTACGAGGAATAGCCGTTTGGGAGATAGAGCTGTGTCGGTGATGGTCCAACCGTCATGTTTAACATGCGGTAACCAAGTTAACACAAGATACGCACCAGGAATTGTTGGTCAGGATAGATTGCAGTGTCGGTGACGGCCCATCGCAGGTTGAACGCAATCACATCCTTGTTAGCCAATGGTATCCTATCAGCAGCGCGGCATATGGTGCCAGTAAGGCAAAGGCTTACCAGGAATCGTTGGTCAGGAGAGAGTGCAGTGTCGGTGATGGTCCATCGCAGGTTGCGAGCAATCACATCCTTCCTTAACGCCCACCCTCGATCCACATCGTACACGCGAATCCGACGGTCCTGATCGTGCGCATGATAATTGGGTTCGGGCGCGAGAGAAGGGGAAGCAACGGGGGCAATGGATAACTGAGGGGCGGTAGTAGTGGTAAGGAGAAAGGAGGTACTCAAATAAGAAATTGGTTCAGAAAATGATGACCTTTGTGACGTCTCAGGAGTGGAAGGAAGAATGAGGTATCGACATTGTCCACCACCAACAAGAACTCGGTTCAACTCGTGATGGCGATGCCACATTGTCCACCCCCATGGGGCCGTCTCGACTCGCACCACGTGCCGTCTATTACCACGTGGCACATTGTAACATAACATTCAGCAAACGCTTCTCCCCCACTCACCTGAAAGCCAGCCACGAACAGATCCCTGTCGCCGCTGAACTGGCCTATATACGCGCGTGATGCCACCTTGTCCACCACCATGGGACCCAGAAGGCCATGCTGTGGCTGGCCATCACGTGTGCTGTGGATGGCCATCACATAAGCACACCCATAGGCAGCTCACATCACACACATGAACTCCCCATCACCCACCTGGAAACCAGCCACGAACAGGTCTCCATCCCCGCTGAACTGGCCAATATAAGCACGCGACGCCACCTTGTCCACCACCATGGGGCCGTCACATGGCAGGAAGGACTGCGCCAAGTGACACCGGTCCGACTCAGAGAAGCGCCCGAATTTCTACGATTGGTGTATGGACCGGGACGGGATGGGATGGGGTGAGGTGAGTTGGGGAAAGAAGGGTCTCTCTCTGAGGATGGCCTTCGCTATGGGGCCATCGCACGGGGAGAGGACTGCGCCAGGTGGCACCTGTCTGACTCTGAAAACCGACCGAATTTCTGTGATTGGTCAGTAGGGAAGGAAGGGATGGGGTGTGTTAGGGCTACACGAGTCAACACGGGGGACCTCACAAAGGCCTCATTCACAACACATGCATGCATGTTGCGGCGAGCGAAGGGGGGAGGGGGCATGTGGAAGGCACCAAGAGGGAGAAACGTGAATACAGAGTTGAATGAGGGCTTTCTTACATTTCTGAATTCAGCGTTGATTCAGATGGAACGCACCGACAGGAAGAAAGTTGAATCCAGAGTTCAATCGAATCAAATAAGATCAGATCAAACGCACCGACACGTTCACTTCTCGCGACAGCAGCATCTGGTGCACGTTCACTGTGTCACACCGCTCTGCACCCCTCTTCTCCCCCTTCCCCTTCCGCTTCTCCCCCTTCGCCTCCCCTTCCCCCCTCTCCCCCTCCCCCTCCCCCGTCCCTCCAAAATTCCACAGTGCACCCATCTCTGCCTGTTTCCGCGCTTCCTCCGGTCCGCTCCCCCCGCTCCCCCCGCATCCCCCGCATCCCCCACTCCCCCCATTCCGCCGTTTCCTGCAGAGCGCGGAGGTCTTGCCATGCGCGGAAGACCATACGCGCGTCGCATGCGCCACGGGATGCGCCCTGAACGCGCGCGCAGCCTCCTTCCGACTCACCCACCCCTTCCGCTTGCCCCTGCTCCCCCTCCCCCGCGCGCCCCCTTCCCTCGCCTCCGCCTCCGCCTCCCCCTCGTCGCTCATCCCTGTCCGCGCGCCGAACGTGAACCAAAACTCGCTCCCCCTGCCCGCCTGGTTGCCGTACGCGTTACCATCATCCTCGCTACTGTCATCCTCGCTATTGTCGTTCTCGTCACTGCTCTCTCCGCTACTGCTGCTCTCCCCTTTGTCCTCCCCTTCTCCCTCCTCCCCATCCGAATCATCACTGTCGTCACTGCTAGAATCCTCGCTAGTATCACCACTCTCCTCTTTATCCTCGTCCTCACTATTATCACACTCGTTTTCCGTGTCGCCATCCCCCCCTGCGGTCTCATCATCCCCACCCGCCCCTATTGCCGCTAAAATAGCCTGAAAGCCCCCCCCGCTGTCCCCCCCGCTTCCCCCTACTCCGCCTTCCCCGCTTCCCCCCGCCGTCCCCCCCGCGCGGGTGTGGTCCGCGCCTTCTCTTCCGCCAGCGCCTGCGCCGCCGCTGCTGTTTCCGCCACCGCTTCCCCTTCCGCCAGCCTGCGCGTCTCCCCCTGCGCGTTCCCCCGCCGCCTGGAGTCTCCGCTGCGCCAGTCTCTGCGCAAAGCGCGACGCCCTTCCGACGAGGTCGTCTAGCGCCGCCGGCTCTTCCGCGCCTCCGCCCTCCGACTCTTCCGCCTCCGCTCCGCCACCCGCTCCGCCCACCGGTGTTTCCCCCGACCCTGCGGTGTCATCTTCAGCCGACGGTTCCCCCACCGCCGCGGCTGTAACCAAAAATCCCCTCGCCGCGGAAAAATCCCCCCTCCCCGCAAGGGATTCCCGCCTTTCTGCGGAACTCCTCGCTCCCGCGCAGCCTTCCGCCCGTTGCTCCGCGCTAAGCTCCGCAATACAGGGCTGCGCGGAATACTCGAGGTTCAAATCCAGCCGCGCGGAGCGGTTACCGGCTGAGTCATCACCTCGACTGCAAGGACCGGATTCCGGCATGATCAGCAACTGTCGCGACGACGTTACACTATTTCGTCGGCTTGCGAATGCGAATGCGAACTCGGCGACTGGTCACAGGGATGAAACAAAGCGGGGATGTGGCAAGGCGGGGTGCACAAGCAAGCAAGAACCGTGTGCGGCAACCGAGGTGACTACTGAGTCGACTCAGGAGTTACTGATGTAACAAGGCGGAGGTCATGAGCGACATAGCGTGCTCGCCAAACTCCGCGTGGCGACTGTGACTACACGAGCAGGAATGTGCCACGTGTCTGAACGGCCGTTTCCTTGCACCGTTTCTTCACAGGTTCACAGCAGTAGGAAACCAACCTTAGTCACCAGACATCGAAGAAAGGCCGTAACACGAGGATTCCGAATCTCACTTCGGAACAATGGCGTAGAAACCACGCTCAGCTTAGCACACCTACTAATATCTCTTGAAAAAGAACGGGACGGCGGGCGCGGTGATGGCGGGCGGGGTGATGGCGGGCGGGATGATGGCGAGCGGGGTGATGGCGGGCGGGTAGACTAGACAGGTGGAGTGTGGCGGTTTCTTGCTTGATGTGATGGTTCGCCCCTCCTCCCCCTTCCCTTCGTTGCAGGCGTGGCGAGGCGACAATTGTTACTCCATGCATGCATGCCTGCTGTAACACCAGGCTGCTACAAGCAAAGCGACTCTTTGCCAGGGCGCGGCACATTCTGTTCGAGTGGTTCTTCAGCCGGTTTTACAGCTTTGTTTGCGGTTCTGTAAGTTACGATCTGGTGTACTATGTTAGGGGTCTGAGAAAATAGTGATGTCTCCGAGCCATGCCTTGCGTTCGAAACCATCCGCCGCTTGGGCGACTGTTTCGCGACAAAGGCGTGGCTGAGAGTGACGCGCGAAAAGAACGCACTTAAGGGATAAATCTGGGGAATCTTTAGTGACTATTCGCTACAGTTCCATAATTGGCGCCCTGAATTCTTATACCATTTATAATGGCTCAGTGTTCAATTAAAATAAAAAAAACTCACAGTTTAGGAACCTTATGTATACTTCGTAGAAACCGTTGAGATTAAATGTACGTGTACAGCTGACATGCTGCTACAGCTCCCATTTAGAACAGAAAGACTTCCTAAGCTAAATCAAATCGAAATCAAACAAAACCTTCCTGGGTCACATCACAACTGATCACAGTCCGAACCGAACCACAACCCTCTACCTCTTCTTGCTCTTCTGCTGCTGCTTACCGCCACGCCCACGCCCCCGCCCCTTCCCCTTGCTCTTCGCCTCCTTAACCGGAACCGGCCCCTCCCTAAACGGGACTCCAAGCAACTCCAGCAGCCTCTGCGCCTCCCCGTCAGTCTTAGCGGTGGTGACAATGGAAATGTCCATCCCACGGGTCTTGTCAATCTCGTCGAATCGAATTTCCGGGTACAGGGTCTGCTCGGCCAGGCCCATGGAATAGTTGCCCCGGCCGTCGAACCCGCCGCGGGAGACGCCGCGGAAATCGCGCATACGGGGAAGAGCGAGGTTGATGAGACGATCGAGATAGGCGTACATGATCTGAGAGGGAGGGGTATGGAGGGGGGAGGGGAGGGGGAGAGGGAGAGGGAGGGAGATGGAAAATGCAAGGAGAGCAGTGAGATGCAGAGGTGGTTACAGAGGTGATATGAAAGTCACGCATGCGGGGGAGAGTGAGGTTGAAGTGATATGCGTACATAGTCTGAGGGAGAGAGGGAGAAAGGTGGGGGTGGGGCCAATGGAAGGGGGAGAATGCAAGAAGAGCAGACTGCAGTTTCTGAAAAGAGTGCGAGTGCAAAACTGGTTCTGAGGAGACGTGGCAGTTGCGCATGGGGTTTGGGGGCAAGGTTGATAAGGCGGTCCAGATAGGTGTACATGATTTGAGAGAATTTGAAGGAGATGGGGGTGTGGGGCAAAAAGGGGTGACTGTCAAGGTTGACGAGGTTTAATCCCAGATCATCTAGATGTTTACTATCGATAGAAACTGTTACGACGTTTTTTTTCTTGTTTGCATGACTCAGTAATGCCGTACCGTATGGGATAGGGGGAGGTGGGGGCGGGGGAGGAGGAGGGGGTGGGATGGGGGACGCGGGAAGGGGAGGGAGAAGAGGGGCCACCTGGATTTTCATCACGCAGTTTCCCCTGTAGTTGCTTCCCTCCCATCGCCACTTTAGTCACTCCATCTTTCACCAATATCACACTCAACCTGTTTCCTCCCTCCTGCCATCCTCTCCCTTCCGTTTCCTTTCTCCCTCCCTTCCACCACTTCCTCTTCCCCCCCCCGCCTTCACTCTTCCTCACCACTTAATGAATCGGCCCCTTCGCCCTCCCATCCGTCGCTCCACCTCCATTCTATCACAAGCATATCCGCCATCCCCATGAGCATGCTCGCACGCCCACAACGGCCTTCCGCGCGCGCGCGTCCCCCGCAATTAATCCCAGTCCCCCGCCGTTACCCCTTTCCCCCGCGCCCTACCTGTCCGCGGAGCGTGGTCGCCATCCCCACGGGCACGCCCGCGCGCAGCTTGAACCCCGCAATAGCCTTCCGCGCGCGCGTCACGACGGGCCGCTGCCCCGTCACCGCCGCCAGGTCCTTGGCCGCGCTGTCAAGGGTCTGCGCGGGGAAAGAGGAAGAGGGTGGGAGCGGGGGAAGGGGGAGGAACGGAGTGGGAGGGGGGAGGGGGAGAGGGGGAGGGGGGGGAGGGGGGGGAGGGGGGGGAGGGGGGGGGAACTCGAGCCACGCTTCCCGGCGCTGTGCTTGCGACGCTAGCTGAGTTCTGGCTGGCAGCGAGGAAGGCTGCCGCTGGCACGAGCGGGTGGGGGCGGGCAAATTCATCTCAAGCGTCCGTTGCGTCGACTCAAGAGTCATCTAGTTTTGAGTCGCTGCCTCGTTCAAGGCTGCGCGACCGGCGGGGTAGTTTCCCATGAACGACGGCTTTTGAGGCGCCTCAAAAATCGACGGGCGGGGCAGTTTCCTAGATGCCCATGGGCAACAGACAGCTTCAGCTGTACTGGAATCACTTTCGAGAATTCTCAAAAGTGATTCTCGATTCGAGTCGCTGGCTCGTTCGAGGCTGCGCGACCGGCGGGGTCGTTTCCCATGAGGAACGGAAGGTTCAGCTGTAGCCCTATCGTGTCTCAGGCGAGTCGCGAGTCGGATGTCCCATAGCCCTGACGAACATGACGAAGATGACGAAGATGATTCGAACGACACTCTACTCTCCATCTCCCATCGCCGACAACGATAGCAGCTGCAGCGGCTTCTGACGACGACGACGACTAATCAGCAACACACCAGTAAGCCTGACCGTTATTCGTTCTCGTTCCGTGAGGTCCTACGAGATTACCTTTGCAATCGAGTCTAGGTGATCCCTCTGCTTCGCCTTCTCCCTTGCTCTCCCTGCGTTCCCGCCCTACTCTGCCGTATCCGCGAAAGACGCCTCCTGAGCTACGAAGTGGCTGAGCTTGTGACTTTGATGCGACGCATACATTGGAAATCGTGGTCTCGGCAACCTCTGTTGTGCGACGCCTGTGCGACTACCGCGATGGCGCGATGCGACGCTGCACTGTGTCTTAACGACCCCATGCGATTCCAACCAAAAGCTGCAACAGACACCACACCCCGCCTCGTCCGCGCTAGCTTCACGATCCTGAGCATAACTGGGCCTAAACAACCCATTAAAACCAAATGCGCAACCACTTTTACACGCAATGCCAGTCATTTCTGGTCTGGGAGCTTCAAAATTGAGTTCGCAATAGCGCTATCCCTCTATCCCCAGGAACTACAGTCTTCGGGTCTCTAGACGGTGTATGACTAATTAAGAGCGCCGCGCCTTACTACAACGCACGTTCGACTCGCGACGCACATTCATGCTCTGCGACGCACCTTAGCGCTCTGCGACGCGTCGCCAATGCCGCAGTTGACCACCACCTTCTCGACACGTGGCACCTCCTGGGGGTTCGCATAACCGAACTCTGCGAGCATAGCGGGAACCACGGCGGTCTCATAGTACGTCTTAAGACGCGCCTTATCCGCTGTCCCCAGCTTCCACGCGGGGTCCGATCCGGACAAAAGCCCGGTCGGCCGCGACGACTCCGCAGCAGGCGCCGCGACATCCGCTACGGCCTGCGCCGACACCACCGGGAACGACGGGCCGCATTTCGCGGAGAGAGCGACTGGCCGGCAGGCTACGAGAGCGGGAGAGGAGACGAAGGAGGAGCGGGACATGGAGAGGGAGGAGGAGGTGGTAAGTGAGAGCTTCTCAAAGGAGAGAGCTGCTCCCGACACGGAAGCCATGGCGTGGGCCATAGTATCGTTTAAATCCAAGGAGCGACGCAAAGCGAGAGGCTAAGCGGGAACACGGACGCCTGTGCAGTGCCTCCTACTCTCCCTACGCCGGACAGAACCAAGGCAATGATGCAGAACCTAAGTGTAAAAAGAAGGGCTTTGCGAAACCCTAGAAAGCATGTGAGAGGGAGAAATTGCTTCCGTAAGGGGAGTGAGTGAGTGGAAGAAACGGGGTGGTGGGCTTGGGAAGTTAGTCCGGGGGGAAGGATTGGTTGAGAGGTAATGAGGATTCCTTTACGCGAATTATTGCGAGAAACGACGAGAACTGGTAAAGCTTGGAAAACAGTTACAGGGATCACTGGTCGCATCTGTACCATTCACTGATGATCACGAACATTCGCGTAACATTATGTTACGGTGGTGGCTGACAACGAATAGGGGCAATGCTGGCAGAACGCTGAACTAACAGGATGTGGATTGAGCACGACATACCAGCTATTGCCACGTCAGCGCCCTTGAGAATCGTGGACACAACATCACCTAAACCAGACCTACTTCGATAAGCAGAGACCCGTTACATAAAACACACAAGCAATAATGCACAAAGTCTCACAAACTCTGATGTCACAGATTTTGATCGTCTTGCCTGGTACTATTAAAACAAAAGGAAATATATTGGTTCATCCGGTTGTCCTCGGGTAAAAAACAAACTAC